ATTTTATCATTAATTCCATTATTGAGGTAGCCAAATCATATTGCTATATTACACCCTATTTTTCGTTAGTAACAGCAAACTGCGAAAACTACAGCACAGATTTGCAAGGATTTTATGTTTATTTTCCTTTGGAATTGATAGAAATTTCCACTGTATCGAAGGTCGTCAGTGTAAGGTGGGGTTGCATTTTATAACCGTTATAAAAACCAAAGTATATGATTATGCAATTTCAGTGATATCAGTTATATTTGTATATATTTTCCCTCGCTACATTTCGGCACCCTCACGGGCTCCCATATGTCCAAATAAGCAGAAATTCGTTGTTTGTTGGTTTCCACGCGGAACAATACCATTAAAGTTAGGATAAATTTTGGGATGGAATAACGGTTTTTCACTTTTTCCCTGTTTTTAAAATGTTCTACATCTCTAAAAGTACTACAAATAAAGTTGGAAAGTTAAAATTTTGTTTGCATATTAAGTTGGCGTTGGAGAAGTTCCGTTGTTGAGTCTCGTCGCAATCAATCCATAGAAGTTAATCAATCTGGAATAAATAGGAAGAGTAGAAGATTTAGTGTGGTGTTTGATTTATTCATTGCATTAATTAATTAATGCAAAATATTAAAAAAAATCAATACGAATTTAAAAATAAAATTAAAACAGTAGTTGTTTTATAACAGGAGCGATTATAATTGATTTGAAAATAAAGTCTGGAACTTAGTGTTAGTAGGATATTATTTGATATATTATTCTTGTTGATCCATCGGTATTATAGTTCACAAGACACACACATTTTAATACGAAATATTTTAATTACTAAAGTTGATAAAAAGGAGTTTTAATTAAAGTACCAATCCTTCGAATCGAATTCTCAATGCCATCAATGACAAAGTCCTTGAAATATTATTAGTCTCACTAATTGTGTGTGTATGTGTGTGCAGAGTAAAATTTCTCGATAATATTTTCATTATTTAAATAGATAAAACACGTTTCTTTAAAATTGCTTACTGAGGGAATGCATTAGGAATGACAAAATGGGTAAGTTATACGTAATGTTTTTGCATAGGTATGTCCGTCTTAATTGAATGCTTGTGTGATAGAATTCATATTTTTTATATTTTTCATTCCATGGAACAATGACGTAACTGCAAATCAACAATTTATAGGAGAGGTAAAATAATTAGAATTATTATTATAATATATATATATATATATATATATATATATATATATATATATATATATATATATATATATATATATATATATATAAATATGTACATTTTTATTTTTAAATTGATGTTTCATTGTAAAATTCATCTGTTCAAATTTTGCTTAGTTATACTATGAAGCTGGTTCGACTAAACATGGCTTTCAGAAAATTTAACGATATTTAGGATTTTGCACAGTTTTACAGTAGCCTTGTTTTATGACAGATATACATTAAAAGTTGTTGTAAAAAGTATACGATTTTTAATTTTCAACGAATAAATAGCTTTATAGCCGGCCATAATTTACTAGTATCATCAACGATTTTATAGGAACTCATTTAATTTATAATGTACGGTGGGGATTACTCGGCAACAAATATCTAACTGTGAGGATTGCCAATATTTTCCCGCTTCCAGGGCGGCTGGAGGGGAGGGAGCGCTCCTGGAAGATGAGCGGAGAACACATTTCTCAAAGGTGTGTATTAATGCAGTTTAGCCCGGAGGCAGTGGGAAATACTTACGGTAGCCGGCTTTAATTTACAGCAAAGCCAGGAACCGTGGAAATAGATCGAAGGCAGTTGGAGCAATTTATGCCATCTGGGTCTACCGTGGGAGCCTAAGGCCCAAGTATTTTATTATAAACTGTTCCTCGACTTTCTTAGCCATTAGTTAGGGCAAACTCTGTTTTATTTTGCTCCGGGTACCGCAATTAGATCCCTCCGGGCCACATATATCGCTACCTACATCCCGTATCATCCTCCAACCTCAACCTCGCAACATCTTCGATCCAGGCGAAGAGCAGTCTAAATAATTTCCAATAATATACGTTAAGAAAATTATGCATGATTGGGGTATCTATCATATATAATTTTAATTTTTTCTATGGTTGCTAGTAAGTTTGAATCTTTAATATTTTTTATATGTCTCACTGAACTCCCAAGTTAGTATGACTATAACTGATAATTTGTTTATTATATTATCAGTTCTGGATTGACTTTAGGTGCCCTCCTCCTTCTCCTTCTAGCAACATTCGCTGACGATACGCCATCCTATCATGCCATCCAGACCCTGAAAGAACACCTCTAAACCTACACAGACACATCTCCCTAAAAGAGCAGTGGTGCAACAATTGGAGCATCGAAATCAATGATTCCAAATGCAACCATGTCACCTTTAACCTCCGACGCCGAGGTGGACAGGATCGGGTCCACCTATCCTTTTCAACTCAGTACCTCTTCCCATCTCAGACACAGTTCGGTTTCTTGGATTACTTTTAGACAAAACACTAATATGGAACCCATATACCAGACTTAAAAGACAAGAACTTAACGGACGGTTTGGCCAGTTATACAGATTACTTTACAGAATATCTAACCTCTCAATTGAAAACAAACTATTAACATACAAGACCATACTGAAATCCATCTGGACCTACGGAATTGAACTGTGGGGAACAACTAAATTTTCTAAAATCAAACGCATCCAATCCTTCCAATCCAAAGTCCTTCCTGCAATAGTAAATGCTCCTTATTATGTTACAAACAAAACTCTACATCATGATCTTAACATCCCTTATGTCCTTGACGTTATTCCATCCCGTTTCTCAAAATTTCATCAAAACCTAGTCCATCATCCTAATCCCTTAGCATAATCTTTATCCAGCTCCATAAAAAAAAAGAAAAGGTTCCCTCCTAATTACAGTTGAGCTCTTAACCTCGCAATCCCTAGTCTGAACCTCAGGATTACAATTTCTTTATTTACTTTTTATAGAGAGACAGAGTCTTGAAACAGTTTCCATTGGAGGACTAAGAACCATTTTTTACAATAAATATGAATGTTAACATTCATGCTAAGTATTCTATAGTTAGCTCTTTTCCATGATTCAGTAACTGAAGAAGGTTTAGTAGACGCATCTTCTGGTGAAGTCCCGACCTCAAATGATATGGACCCGCCTTGTATTTGTTCGTTCCTTGAGCGAGCGGAAGTTGAAAGCAGTACAAAAAAAAAAGAGCTAAAGGATCGTTAAGGACTTTACCAAAGTCGTAGATCGCGTTCTAAATATTGGGAGTATATAGAGGAAACTCTTCAATTTTTGACTGTTCTTGGAATCTCATGTATAGCCTGATGATGGGATCTTGGCCCACTCGTAAAAATGAAGTGACATTTGTTAAGCAGTACCAATGATATAAGCATCACAGCGAATGATTCACGTATTTTAAGGTATTCTAGGAAAAAGTGATATTCGAATCCTGGTTCACAAATCAAAAACTGAATTAAGTGTATAGATTTAAAAGGGAAAAACCGTTTCGTTCTACAGGAAAAGAGCAATTTCGAAGCAAGAATGTCGGTCACGTTTGGCCCTAGCAAGATTCGGAGAAGTGGAAAGAGTCAGCATCTTGCCTCACCCTGCCTGAGGGAGACTGGCGGCAAGCCGTCTGCACACTATCTTTTCACCGCGGTACCATATTTTAAAAAAATACAAAAGTATGACGATGTTTAATTAGTGTAGGATATCTTTTATACCGCAAAATTGAAAGGTTAGCATCATCACCTAATTCTACAATTACCCTCTTTGGCAATTTTTTTTCACCTACAATTTTAAATAAAGTATTGAATGAGGTAGTATAGAGTAGTGTCAGTATAATTTATATTTCAAGGCCAACAATATTTTTTTTTAAATTAAATAAATCAATAAATTATTTTGAAAAAGATATACGACAGGAGTAGTATTAAAAAAAGTTAACTTTTGTATCGGAAAAGCGCAACGCGCCTCTACACCCAGCTAGTTGACGAAGCTTTAAGCTTAGAATTTTCATTTATTTGCATTATCTCCTTTATTGCATTATCTCCTTATTATTTCATTTATTGCATTATATAACGTTCTAATTATTCTATTTAAAAATAAAATTAACTGGTTATTTCAAAATGATTGATCTAAACAAAGAACAATATCAGATTAATCTAACTCGTAAAATGGTTTGAAAAATTCTAATAAACACTAATTATTATTAGTATGACATATATTTCAATCAAGAAAGGTTCTTCGGCATCTCCGCATTGACCTAGGGGACGACTAGCTTTAAACGTAAAACATAAACATAAAATTTGAGCCTTTAATTTTGAATATGTTTCTAAGTTTATAAACCTTGGTTAATCAATGAATATAAAAACATAAAAATAAAGCGTATATAGCTTTCAAAGACACTTAAAATCTGGGCGGTGTCTCTATAATGGACCATAATTATTCCAGTGCTAAAATACGGTTTGAAGTGCTGGATGATACCAAGCCAAAAATTAGCCCTTCTTCGATTTTCTAATAAGAAGAACCGTTTTAAGAAGTATAATAATTGCCCAATTCTCAATATCAATCCCAAATGACAAGGATGTGAAGAAACAAGGAGCAGAAGGACCTAAATCATTTTTGGGAATACACATTAAGGCAAAATAGTCACTAATACTTGACAATTTTAGTTATTATATGAAAAGAATTGGTATATACTTTTGCATTTAAATCTTCCAATTTTTCATTCGAGCTCAATAAGCTTTTAATAGCACTTAATAAGCCACCCCTATCTGAAAAATTACAGTAATACCTCTATTGTAATAAGTTAATAGGTAACTGCAAGACTGTTTGTTGCAAGAGTCTTGCGCAAGACCAAGCCTGAGTATGCAAGAACAAGACTCGTTAGTCTCGCATTTGGGTAATACTTGATAAACACAATTTGATGGAACAATTTCTTTCTCTTTTTAAAACTAATCTTACAATAGGATTCAAATCGTTATAATAGTTACCTGGAATTACGTAATCAGTTGGACTAATAAGATTGACTGCGCTAAGAGCCATTGGAGAAGGAAAGGTTAGGCGGTGGCTGAGCTCATTATGGGAGCGGGCAGTGTTAGCCTAAGGAGGATCTGGAGTCGTGGCGATTGGCGGAGATAGCTCTTCCCCTATCTGCCTTCCTCATTAGCTCTTCTGTCCTCTATCACACCTACGTCCGCACTGCTCCATCTAAGGTCCTCAACAGCCGTCTTCGGCCCTTAATCGGCAGCTAGCTCTCGGAGGCGTTGGTAGGATTTAGGACTACCCTTTTTTTTTTAATATAGGTAACTTGTAGGAGAAAAAAAAATGCATTGCAGGAGAGGCCAGTTAAGAAGAAGCAAACTAGGAACAAGTCACGTTTATTCAGGCAGTTGCGTTGAATCAATCACAAGTAACCACTTCCAGTCGATCTGTAACGGCTGTAGCCCTGAAGCTAAGGGGAAGGGAGACTCGGAGAAACATTTAACAGTCAAATAACCTTTTGAATCATGTGTTGAATGAGTTTATAAATTTGATAATTTAGTTAAATACTTTGGTCACCACGGTTGGAAAACGGTGATTTTTACACCATATATTAAAAGCTGAAAACATATTATGTATAAAACATACTATAAATGTATACGCAGCTTGGAAATGAATAGAAAATGCTTATAGAACGAAACTTGTAGAGCCTCACATTCTGGTCTCGATTTGTCCAATTCTTTTTAACGAAAGTCACATTAAATCACAATTAGAAAGTACACCTCTTGAATAGGGATTACCTACTCCTTCGTGTAATTTCATTTCATTTGAAACCTCCACTTTCAAAATCCATCGCTTGTTGTGAGATGAAAAAGAGATCTATGCTGTATAAAGAATGGGAATAATTAAGTAGATCAAATACACATACTATTGAAATATTGGAAATCATACTTTCATAATCAATAGGTAGCTATTGAGAGCTTACTAATCTCGAGAGGTGCAATTGGCCTACATTAATGCTGTTACTCAGCACTTGATAGTCCGTTGTACAGAACCCTTTGTATCAAAGAATCAACATCCGCCTAAAACTACGTGACATAACATCTCATACATCATAAAACATCTCATCGTAGCCTACAACTTTTTTATTCATGGATATTCTCGGATTATGACGGATATTTTCAATCTGAAGTTTGGCAAGCTTTGCCTATTTAATTAGGTACTAAAAAACTCAAAGGCACCCATTTGCTTACCACTTTAATCTTAAGATAATTAGATCACAAGATCGAGAAAAAAGAAGGCCTACGAAAATAAAATGGATCTTTTGGCGTGACCTCCACCCCTAACATGTCAATATAGATAAACCAGCCCAATATGTTTGTAGGCCTTTTTTTTCGATTTCATTAACAAGTCATCTTACGATTGAAGTAGAAAGAAAATGGGTATGTATGACTTTTTAGTACTTCATTAAATTAATTAATTTAATGAGCAAAATCTCCTATTTCTGAGAATTTTCATTGATAAAAATTTAAGTTACCATAACATGAAGCCATTCACAAAATTTTAGGATATCCGCTTGGATGTGCATCATTAAGAAGTTGTAGATGAAAATACAAACCTAAAAAAATTTCGCCTTTTAGACTGAAAAAAGTTCTCTCAAGATGGCCCATGCTCCTTTTTTGTTTTACACATGCTTGTACCCGTACATAGAAGTTAAAAAACATTCCTTATCTACATTATCTACATAAGTATAATAAGACCTATATGGACATACGGAGTTGAGCTTTGGGACTCCACCAAACCATCGAATTCCTATCGTATCCAATCCTTACAATCCAAAATCCTCCGTAAAATCCTTAATGCTCCATACTTTGTCACAAATAAAACCATTCATTAAGACCTTAATGTACCATATGTCGCTGATTTAGCTGGAGCCAGATATCTATCCTTTCATGATAAACTTCAGTCCCATCCAAATCCGCTTGTTTCCACTCTTGCTTCTTCCTCGATTCCTGATAATCCTCCTAGGCGTATGAAAAGGAGATGGCCTCGTGATCTTCTTACTTAAAATTATCTAGAGAGTGCTACCACTGGGTAGTAACTCTTCAAGCCTGTACATGACATTATTTATATTTGCGCATATTTACTAGTTGTATTTGTATACAGTTGTAAATTCCATTAAATAAACAAACAAAAAAAAAAACATTCCATACTTCCCATTTTGATCCTCAAGTGACTAGATATTCTTTAAATTATCTGCTATATTTGAAAAAAGCGATTCTGGGATGACAGACAAGGTTCGTTTTACTTTGAATACTATTTTGTAATTCACATACGATCTTCCTTCTGGAAGGAGTACCCTTTTTTAGCTCTGGCTAAAGAGCTACTGTGTTTTGCTGGTTACAGTTATCTGGTAGGAACACTAGATTAGACTGCGGTCGTAATTATTTTTACCAATATTTGTATTTATCCACAATATCAATTTATTATTTCTTTAAAACCAGAATACGTCAATTACCCTATTTGCCCCAACTAACCCGAATACACCTGCATATTAACCTTGGCACATTGGTGATTTGTAAGTGAAGTTGATCTCGCTGAGTATTGGAACTTGTTGTAGTTGGGTAACTTCTACACCAGAAAGAAACATATCCTTCAGAAGCTTGTACTATTTCAAATATTACTCCCAACAACTTAAATTCCAAGGTTAGGGATAACGGGTGTGTTAAACACAAGTTCCTTAAGTCTCAGGATTTAAAAAAATATTTTAATGAAAAACTCCTTAATTTAAATTTAATGAAAGACTTTACAGGATGCTTCTGAACACAGCTAAAATTATGTTTAAAAAAGTGGAATTACGAGCTTTTATAATTAGTGTAACATTAAAGAATAAAAAAGAGGAAAATTTTCCAAATGCAATTTTAAAGGTCATAAATAAAATAAAATAAACGATTAAGAGGTGTGAAACTTTTTTATGATTCCAGCCCATGTACCCTAATCTACGCAATCTAATTTATTACCTTAATTAACCTTATTTCGAAGATTAAACCATCAGAAATCTGATAAGAAAAACTCAATAAATTATGCTTCTTTGGGTCCAGCTATTAAGGCAGATTTAGTATACCCGGCTGAATTTATTTCAACAGGTACGGCGAAATATTACGAGACAATGGCCAATGAACAGGCCCGTTTCCACTTGCGCTTACGACCGCATTCTGGTTGTAATGGATACGAATCAGTGCCCACTTCCTCTTGGAAGACTGTTCTTCGCCTGTATAAAAAAATACAAACAAGGACTGGGGGATGAGGAGCGTGGATGTTTAGAATGTCAACGGTCCGTGAGAACGGTAGCCTAATGGTGGATATGTTGCCCGCTTTTCGGGGAGCCACTCTATCTCCTTGCGAAACCGCTGTAGAAGAGAACCGATATAAATTACTCAAGTTTTATCCCTCTCCAGTCCCTTTCCTCTCTCACCTGCGGGATTCATGGAATTCCCCCGGGTCCTTTTTCGTTACTAAAATGGGATCAGGGACAGAGATTGGCCTAACGTCGGGGTAGTTCGGGTGTTAACTGTCTTTATGGTTGATTCTTGATTGATCACAACATTCCTAAAAAGTTAAGATTGCTAAACGATTGTTCATTTCTTCGTATATTCTAAAACCGGATTCGATGGTTTATGGTTAAAATATTCTTCATTAAATCACATACCCGGCATAATTTAGAAGGCAGCGGATTTCGAACATTTGTTTTCGGTTTAAGTAAAAAAGCTTTCTTTTGAGTTTTGGGTTCTTTTATGTTAATTTAGTCAGTTACATAAGTTAATATTATTTGATAATGAGGTTTATTTATTTTTGTTTCCTGTTAAAATTACAGACCTTCTAAACATTTTGCTGCTTTAACTTGCCTTTTGCATCACTGCCTATCTTGGGTTGTATATTTTCATTTACCTGAATGCAGCTCTCCTGCATACATAAATATATTAATGATATTTATATCAAAACGTAACATCTAACATAGTAATATAAAATATTGGAGCACATTGGCGGCTACGTGAAAGAGACACAGCTTATTTTATGATACCAATCGCTTGATACAAAAAAAAAAGTTTATAATAATAGTCATTTTCATTTTCAAACAATATCGTATTAAATACCTATCTTTAGGACACATTTAATTTTCTACTGCTGAGTGACAAAAATTGCAATAATCCAAAAATCTATAAGGCTAGATGATATAAACCGAAAGTGCAGTGGTTACTGAAACTAAGGAACAGAAGAATCTTGTTTCATCAAAATTTGTTATTATGGAATGACGAGAATATTAAACAGATATCATAAACTGTTCAAGCGTTCTTAAGCTACAGACCAATGGTGAATAACACCCTTAGGAAAATATTCAATATTGTAAATTATATTTAATTATCAATTTCGACGAATAGCTTCTGGCCTGACATAGGGTGTTGCTTGTTTCGAATGAGTCATGAATGACGTTATTTACAATGGAAATTAAAAAAAAAAAATGTAAGCGCATCTCATTGACATGACAATTTGTAGAATGGGGACAGATGAATAGGATAATTGCCTAAAATGATTAATGGTTACTTGAAAAAAAAAAAAAAAAACCATGAGTTCACCATAAACCATGAGAAGAGCAAACTCTCCCAAATTTCTACTTGGCTTCTCGGCTATAAGATGGGACTACTTTGCTTGACCCACGCCGTTTGGTTCCTCCCCTTAATCTGCCTCCTCCATATAATTCAAAATATTTTAAATAATTCAAAAGAAAGAAACATTAAATGACAATTGAATTACTCACACACTTTCCAATATGGATTCCAAATTATTCTGATTTCGAAATTTTTTTAATTCTCAAATTTTCTTGTGTCATCTGAGCTCATTTCACATTGTCAAATAAAAAAATCTTGTGCGCGAAATTGATTGCTCTGAATTTTCACAGCGGTGCTCTACCATTTCCCTTGTGGTTCCCTAGTGGTGTTCTTCTCTAAAAAACGCAATAATAGTGAATAATAACAATCAGCTGATGAGAAAGAGGCTTACGTCGTCGTTTGATCGTTGAAGATATAGAGACATTTTCTATTTGGAAGGTACTTCACAACAATTGCTGAAAATTAACAATACATTTCTGAAAATTAGCGAAGGTTATAATCGACGAAGCTATAACCGTGAAGCTTACAAGTATGATCGATTCTAAAAATTGACATCACACAATTAATACGGTATCGATTATTTATTTATCGTATATCGAACAGATTGAATTATCATATGATCACAGAGTGAGTATGAACAACATATTACATCATATAATGACTGGCATGAGTATTTGTTTAATTTTAATATGTTTTATAATAAGTTACAGTTTGTTGAAAGATAACCCGAAAAAATACGTGCTACTTTTATTTGATTGATTGTACAGTAGCGTAAGAAGAATAATTGGCCAGCGAAGTAGTGCATTAATGCGATTGTTTGCAGTATTCCATAGCAGGTTCGGAAACTATGAAAACGAAGGGAGAATGGCAGCTGTACCCGTGAGGCATTTGAAAGAACTAATGAAGTGGGTAATTTTTAATTAAAATTTTTATAATTTAACTAATGTACGGCAAATCATTATCGAATTTGAAATCATCGCGATTTGATGTCACTGCTTCTAATTGTTATTTATTTATATCACTCACACATAGTTAATTCATATAGTTTTACCGGATCATTCACAGTCCTAACAAGAGACAGATTGAAACGAGAATCGACACCGAGTTCCTCACCGTTAGTCTTCCTTTTCAACAAGTCGAGGAGAAAATTTGCTGATGTTTTAGATATAGATTTACCAGAATTCCAAACTAAGAAAGTTGATATTATGTTAAGTGATGAAGAAACAACCGATGAAGTCCCACACGTTATAGTAAAGATTAAGACTTCAGATAAAGGCAACACAAGACCTGAAGAACCTTTTATCAATATGACCAAGTACATGATCGATGATAGAGTAAAAAAGGGCAACAAATACAAACCAGCTCAAATAATTTCGAGAGAAGCACCAAGAAAACCAGGTGTAAGGGTCTTGAACCTGACTAAAAGCATGTTCGACTACAATGCTCAGAAAATTTATCACACTGTTAACGGTATACGCCTGCGTTTGAGTAAGGAGCACGACCAAAGGATAATATTACAAATGGTTCAGAAACAGGTGGAGAGGGGACTTAGAGAACTGAGGGCGATCAAAGAAAAATGCGACAAAGACTTTATAGTGCTCAGTAATCAAAGGAGAATAGCCCTGGGAAAACTGGCAGGTCTCAGGGAAGTTATGAAACAAAAGAAGGCATTGGACGAAAACTTGTCAAGATTACTCGATAATGCAGTAGCATTCAATGTTGATATTCGATATTGATTGGGTCTTCAGAACGATAAATGATAAATTTAAGTTTCATCTAAGGGACATCATTAGGAAGTGAAATTCAATACCCAATGAATTATTTTAACATTGGCATGAAGAATAAAAAGATCATTCCTTCGTTTTGTTTCAGAATGTATAATAAAAGTAAACAAATCTTAATAGACTTTTGTATATTGAAACTCTTATTATTTAAACACATTACAGTATTTATTATCAAAAATAATGATTAAATGATTTTATCTAAACTTCCAATTGTTGAATTATAAGTAAATAGGCATAGTTTTTTTTTTTAACGCTTATTTCCTTTAAAATTTCCTACCTACCTATTTAACTTCCTTTATAATTCCTATACTTTTTTTTCCTAATTAGGAAATTAACAATGTCAGCTGGCGTTGCACTGTACTGTCACCAAGTTCTTAGCCAGACTCCAGTTGCAAAAAAATAACTTTCACGGCAGTTAAATTTTCATTCAATATTCAGAAAACAGGCAGCTGAGTAGTGATTCGGTATCAGATTCAACAATATAAATATAATTACAATATGAACCCAGATGTTCTTCTAATCCCTCATTGCTACTCTCTTATCTTTAAACAATCATATGTTTATTGTATCATCTCTATCATATACAGCGATCTGAATGATTCAAGTTTTATCGCTGAACTGTTCCACATTTGTTGTAATATTTGACGCAAAACTCAATCGAAATCGACCATTAGTGGCCGATCGGGTTCCTTATTAATGGCATCGCCAGATGTTAGCAGTTCTTAATTAATTAATATTTAATTATTTTTTCATGTCCTTCTTTCTTCAGCGCTATGGCCCATGAAGGACCTTGTTCTCCTAGAATATTTTCCTCCAATCAGACTGATTATCTGCCGCTTTTCTCCAATGTCTCACACCTCAGGTCTTCTTCTACATCGCTCGTCCATCGTAGTCTAAGCCTGCGTTTTCCTCTTTCTCCATCTGATATACAAATTTAATGATGTAGGTTATCAAAATTTTAAAATAAATATAATTAAGTTGAATATATATAAATCGGTGTGTGTATGAGTTTATATCATCGGCATCATGTTTTAAGTAACGAATATTAACCTACCCAACGTTCCACATTCGTTAATTTAATACGGTGCCGACGATATTTAGTTATAAATAAAAGAGTAGATTGGAAAATTATTGTGGCATCCGTTATCATCGCCTAACCTTACTGCGGCCTCTATTGATAAAATGGTTTCCCAGCTATGCCATATAGCTTCCTTAAATCTACAAGAGGGCGGTATGTTTATTTTAATGATCGGAAAAACAAAATTATACTTTCGAAAATGGTAATAACAATTGTTTACTTCCGATCCAGAAAAAAACAACAAAATAAAGCAATATTAAGGGTATAATAATTCTTTCGAAAATGGCTGGAGCATCGGCAAGTCATTGTAATAGACATAATACCGCGGGGGGCATGGTGAAGGCAAAGTTTTAAATTTATAGTTCACGACACTAAAGAAAATGAAATTAGCCTTTATGATTTACAGCCTGAGAAAGTTATATGGTTCATTAATTTTGAGAATGGTAGAAAGCGAAAAGGTCACATTCGTCTAATGGAAGATAACTACAGTGGGGGTGGGATGGACTGGTAGGAATATTGTTATTACATGAAGAGTTTCCGATACTTATTCTAGTGAGTAAAAAATTTGGTAAATTTAAAACATACCTGAGACAATAGTCTTAAATCATGGCTTACAGAGAACTAATTCCAATAGTTAACTATAAACTGAAAAAAACAAAACACAAAATGACAAGTCAATTCAGCTTTAAATAGTACCTAGTCATTATATATTTTCAATAATCAACATTGTAATTCAGTTTTTTTTTTTAATAAAAAAAATGTTCATTTCAACCTGCATATTTTACCATATAATTGCTGTAGGAATTCAACTTTCCTTTGAAATGAATAAATAAAATAAAGTGTTCAAAAAATAAATTAATGATAAACGATCAAATGCATTACTAAAGTAATGTAGTAATTTACTATAAAAAGATTATGTAGTACAATAATTGAAACCAGGTTTTCTTCATTGTTATTCTCCCGAGACCCATCGTCATGTGGTTTTGTTATTCACCTGATTTTTTAAAAATAATGAATTGATCAAATTTGTTCTTAATTTTTTTGTTGTTGTTTGATCATGCTTGATTAAGTTTGGTGCCTTCTACAAAGTTACAAACAAAAGTACCCGTTACCATTCAGGAATGATGGCTGCTCTATATTTTTTTTTAAGATGGCAAGTTTCTTAGAAACTATTAACGATTCCCAGAACTAAATTATTAAAAAACATTTGTTTTAATAAATGTTGTTTCGATTAGAATATAATTGAATGTAGATGAAAAATAATAAATAAAAAAAAATAGAAATACATATATTGGGGGTTTTAATAAGGCTCATGAGAATAACTGGTTTGTATGTAAAAAAAAAAAAAAAAAAAAAAATATATATATATATATATATTTTCCTCATGAGTTTGTCAGAGCTGAGTTGGTACTGAAAAACAGGTAAAGTGCGAGCAATTCCGTACAAGAAATTCATAAATCAGTCACAATATTTAATAAAAATGAAAATATTAATTTCAATATGTTTGATCAATGAAAAGAAAAATGTTAAAGAAGGTTTGGTGACAATCCATGACACTATTTATTAACAGGAATAATTTGCGAAAATAGTTTTCATTTTTTTTTTTTTAATTAAGTATTATTTTAAGATGGATAAAATAATTACCAAAATTTACAGAAATTTAGAGGGAAAAAATCAATAATAATAAAACTCCTTCTTTGTCATGGTATTTCATAAATACATTTTAACATAATATTGAAATTTTAAAAATTACGGCAAAATAGTTACTAATACTTGACAATCTTCGTTACTGTATGTTAATAATTGGTGTAACCAATATACTTTTGCATTTAACTCCACTAATTTTTCATTCGAGCTTAGGTTTCTCCTATCTAAAAAATTACAGTAATATCTCTCTTGAGACTCTTGCGCAAGACCAAGACTGAGTTTGCGAGACCAAGACTCTTCTCGGTTTCGCATTTGGGCAACACTAATCTGGAGGGGAGCAAACTTTGTCTATTTAATTACCTAAAAACTAACATACTAAAAACTCGTAAATACCGATTTGCTTTCCACATGGATCGTAAGTTAATTTGTTCACGAAATCGATAAAAAAGGTAGCCTTCAAAAATATGGGCCGTTCGTCCCATATAACCTCGTTATTTAAAAAATTTGGGGGTAAAGGTTACGCCTAACGGCTGAATATTTTTGAAGGCTACCTTTTTTATCGATTTTGTGATCACATTATCTTACGAACCAGGTAGAAAGCAAATGGGTATTTAGGAGTTTTTAGTACCTAATTAAATAGACAAAGTTTGTCCCCCTCCAGATTGAAAACGCCCCAATTCCAAGAGTTTTCGTAAGTAAAATAGTTGTAGGTTGCGATGAGATAAAATTATTCACAAATTTTCAGGCGGATTTTAATAACTCGATAAAAAGAGAAGTACTAACTATACTGTTCTTCTTGCCATTCTAATGTTGAGTATTTCTTCCGTTAACACACAAGAAAACCTTAATTAAATGGAAACTAAGGATTTTATAATCATAGGTTCGGAAGGGAAAAATGCTATAAATAAAATTTATACATTTATCATTCGAATAAAAATGTTAAATATGCTTTTCGTGATTTATTTATTAAAAATATTTAAGAAATGCCATTATTTATGCCATTATTTTTTTCATTGGAAGAACATCGGTTTTGGAAATCAAACTGTTTTCATACCACTATTTATAATATTGTATTGAATTTAGAATTTGAAAAAAAATATTTGCACCAATGGAATTATTTATTGGCTGTTTTTACTTGGAAAACGGTACTTATCTCGAATTCCAAAAATATCGGTTAGGGTTCACTTTGGAAATAAGCGACTTCTGGAATCTACAGAAATGATTACTTGAAATTAAGTAGATTAAAACTATAATGTTTGTCAGCTATATTTCTTCGTATCATCTCACCATGACTGCGACTACACAACGAAGCTAAATGACTACGAACCGCTGTTCGGAAACGAAACTCACTCGAGACCGGGAGATGGTCATCTTCGGTTCTGAGGAGCAAACGAGCCTAGGAACTGAAGCACATCTTAATGTGTGGTGCGGTAAGTAGTTTAGGCTAGGGTGTAATAAATCATGGCGGAGCTACCGGAGCGCCTAATGCAACCGCGGCGAGCGTGGGAACTAGGCCCGCACAGACACAGACGCACAGACACAGCCACACACAGACACAGGGCCACAAATACACGATAGTCATTAGTGCCAGGACCGCTCTTCTTCCCAGGGACCATTAATCACACCTCACCGCCATTTTGGACTCCTGTTGCTATCGGAGTACCAACCAAGTTTCTGGTGAACTCCTTGTAACTGTCACGCCGGATTAAATTGAAATACTCAGCAATGTGAATGGGATTCATAGATACCCCGAGCACTTCATTCTAATTAGGATTCTTTTGGCAGTTAAGACTTGTTACGATATCCAAGAAAACCTATCTAAATAACAATTTAGGTTTATAGAAATTTTGATATCTTTGAGATGTTTATGATCATTATAATGCTAAAAGAAAAAAATAACTTAGAATGATAAATTCGTATATTATTTACAATGGATGTAATGATCGAGTGAAAACCGCATTTTAACAGTTAAGGGAACAATAATTATGAAAAATCCTTTTGCAACCTTTAGATAACCTATATTACCTTTAGATAGGTAAACCTCTTGGCCTAGTGTGTAAGAATATTAAGACATCAACTTAGCAATTTCGTTCGAGTAAAGCGACGCCAATTCGAAACCTTTTTCTTGGCGTTTCCAATATGGGTTCGAATAAAGATATGGTAAAGCTTGAAAATTAAAAAACATAAACTTAATAACTCTCATACCCGGTTATGATTTCATTAGAAT